GAAAATTAATAACAGATTAACTATTATTTCAGCATACAATTATTAATAGTTAAAAAACTTATGTTAGAAGAATTCATAAAAAAAACTCACTTGTCTTGTATTAAAAAATGTCTCTTCTTCTTCACAACCGATCATTTCTGGCAAAAACAAAGATATTGGTTCCTGCCAATCTTCAGATGCTAAATTAATGTTACTGTTCATTGTGATTATTTTTTTTTTTTGCTTGCTCTGCAAACAATGAAGCACAATAAAGGATATAAATTTTTTCTCAACTTAAAAAGTTATAACATATAACTACACTTCATATAATTATAGAAAGACATATTTTTTAAACTGAACTAATTTTCGTCTTCTGTATTAAAATATTTTACTGCGTGGAATTACTTCCTTAGCTTTTAATGCACAAAATACGAATGACAATTTGTTCAGATTTGAAAGGATGTGAGATAAAATGAATGCCTACAAGTGTGCTATGCTATAAAAAGCTTTTATGACAACGAAACCTATTTATGTTGTGCATCAAATTCAAAAGAGACTTAATATATTAAGTGCCGCTGTGATATTTTTTATCATACTTAACATACTTAATCGTTTATATATTATTTGTTTCAATAAACATTTCCTTCAATCTCTTACAACTGCCGTTTCAATTTTCGAAAGCTTTTTTTCTCTGACGACCAAAAGCTCACTGCTTGTATATTATCCTTTCTGCAGGAGCAAATAAGTGTGGTGAGTTTTACTCAACATTCAATATTATTCAACTTCAAGCAAATACATTCAATCATTTGTTGTTCATCTTTAAATTTCGGTTTATGTGGCTTGTCGTGAAAAGCGTTTATTTAACCACAAATTACAAATTTACATTGACTTAATCAAATCTAACCCAAATTTCTATTTTATTACCTCTTTAAGAACTTTTTAATCCTCTGGCAGTTAACAAAGTTTTTACGCTCGTTTGAATTATGTGTCTTATCATTATTTACGTAAGTTTATTATTTTGTTTAAACTATCAAGACATCTATTTGGTTAGTATTACGTGTTAGGATATAATCCTTAAATACCTCTCCATGCATAGAGCTTTGTTAGACTTACAAAGAGCTAAGAAACTCATAAAATGATTTGTATTGTCAAGGGTATAAAATTATTTAGTTACAAAATAAATTAAGAACTATTTTATTATTCAACGAATAAATATAATATAATAATTCGAATAATAATTCGCTTTGTTAAAGGTAATTTTGTTTTTTTTTTCAAAAATTCCCTTGCATATAATTCGATTCTATTTGATAATTCTTTGATATTTGAGATGAATTAACTTCAAGCGCATTTTTCTACATTTATATCCTGACGTAGTTGTTTAAGCTTCATACACCTGCTATCACAGTAATCTATTTTTTATATTCTTCTGAAAAGTAGAAATCTTCGAGGTCGTTAAAATATTCATAAGGAATTCGTATTCCTTCCAGAAAATCATATTTTTAGGCAAGGAAATACAAAGAGGCCAAATAAAATAAAATCTGGGTAATATGGTAGAATAGATTAGGCTGAGAGAGCGTATGCTGATATAATTGTCAGCACTTTCACTCAGACACATTTATAGCCCACAGTTTCTTGGGTAAGGCGAGTTACACTAACCATTGGTGTCGTCCTTGTTAAACTATTTCGTCTTTCAGTTAAAGCTGAGTAGATCTGGCAAATCCTATTTTGTTATTTCTATCAGATCAGTGAAAAAATGGTCGCCAATCAGTGAGTTGTAGTCCTGGACAAAAATATAAAAAGTAATTAATGGATTCTATTTCATTTTTATCATAGTTACTTCTGCACAGTCCAATTTAAAAACGACACCGTTACAACATCGGTGCAATAAAGTGGTCCTTTAATACTGTAACAAGTACATTCACTAAAAGTTTGCTGAATCTCAGAAAGCTTTTCATTTTCTTCCTATCTAATCTAGACCATAAGGGCAATCTGATAAACTCACAGACTTCGCGATGATTAGTTACACATCATTTATCGCTCACATACGATGGTGAATCATTTGTATTCCTAAATAATTCACACATAGGAATCAAATATCCCAACTTTCAATTTTCTTTACTACGGTTTTTGGTATCATATAGTCAGTCGCAGTTTCGAACTTTCAGAACAATCTTTTCCATACCTCCTCCTCATAGTTTCCATAGTTAATTGTCTTCCAGCCTTTAGTTATATGTGGATTATAAGGTAAATGTGATAACATCTTATATAGTAAATAATACAAAAATACAATCAATTTTGTTGTTATAATTACTGATGGGCAGATGCGACCAGTAATTTTGAGATTTTATACTCACATAACAAAATTGAATCATATAAATATGTATCTTTATATTATTTAATCAAAATTGAATTATTTTAATATCAGACATGACAAAAATTTTATTTTCACACAAAATAAGAGGAAAAATATCATAGAAGTATAATAAAAAACCGACACCTATCTTGGCGACAAGTATTTCATATGAAAATACTATTGCCAAGTATTATGAATACATTCATTTCCGTTTTTTACATCAAAAAATCTTACTTACCTATTTTAGATGGGCTTTTAATAAGAGTATGTTGTCACTTGTATTACCATATAAATT